GCCCATTGCCCGGGCTGCGACGCATCCCGGATTGAAGATCTCACCGACACAGGGGTTGATGCGACAGTGCGGAGGGGATTGGGATTGGTGCCGTGGCCCCCAAAATCCCCAAAGACCATATGCCAGAGACCAGGACTTATGCGTAGGATTATAAATGAACCTTGGTCTTCGGGGGGGTACCATATATGCAACCCCCCTCAAAGCCCCAGGCTTTCAGGTAATAATTGACAATATCATTGCTTCAAGAACTCGATCAAAAGGATCCTCAGGGTAGGCGCACCTTTTTAAATGGTGAGACGCCTTCATAGAACTATTTGGAGTTTTCTTGAAAGGTAGGCGCACCTTGCTCAGGGGTCCTTATGATAAGGATCCTACTACTTGGGGCTTCCATACTGAGGCCCCTGGACTTCTGAAACTCCTAAACACCTAACATCCATCTACATATATCTCATATACATTGGCCCTACAAGTTGCTTTTCAGCAACCTTTTCACATCCAAAGTATACACTATATAGGTTTCTCATAGAAGCCTCAGAAATCGTTTATAGAACCCTTATAGATCTCTACAGAAGCCTTCCACGTCCATTATAGAACAAAGCCTGATAAATCGTATGAAGAACCCTGATAGAACCCTCATCAAATCCCCACAAAAGCCCTTCTTGTAGGTGCACGGACCCCTGCAAACACGTATCGGGTTCACTTCTTCTTGGACCTGTCAAAACTGCGGACTACACCCTTTGCTAGAACAGAAATATTTGGCCGAAAGCCCTTAACTGTAACAGGAGCCGTCCATGGTACATATGCATATATGCACCTTAGCGGTTCTAGCTTCCCAAATGCGATTCCTGCCACCAGATCTCACGCGTGACACGCACCACAACAACTCCTGTCCAAACATGCATTTTATGGAAACTAGGCAAGCGCATCAATACTAACATTGCAGATGTAGGTAAATGTGTAAAAAAACCTTTGGTTCTATATTTTTTAATTTTTTAGAATCCGCGGGTATGTTCCATTTTATCTGGAATGTGCTTATATGCTTGTATATACATCTGTATATTGCGATCATCGCGTCAGCATTGGTCAGTGTAAGCGGCGACACGGTATACTTGATACTTCGTATCCCTTGTATCTGGTTCAAACGCAAAAGGTTGTCGTTGCTGCGCCTGTTACTACATGGTTAAGAAAAAGCTATGTATATGTGTGTTAGGCATATTTCCCGTAGCCAGAAAGATATTTCCATACTCAAAGGCAAAGTTGCCCACCAAAGCTTTCTCCACGAATGGTGTAGCTCGTGGCAATTGGCTATGTGCACGGTGTAGAAGTTGCACTAGGGTTTGTCGGTTTTTTTGCATGTGACCATGTATTACGTCTTTCCGACAAAATACTGGTACATTCCAGTGGTATTGATTTCTAATACCTTACAGCCTTGCGTGGGCATTCTAAATTTGATGAACCTTACCCTTCATTTGGGAGTTTAGGATTTGGTGCTTCGGGGCCTGGGGTCTGCAGCTTTCGATATGAACCAGGCAATGAACGTTTAACCTTAAACATCTTAAACCGTAATTGGGTTTCATTCGGGCCGCGGGGTTTAAGGCTCAGCGTGCGGGTTAATTCAACGCGCAGAGTTTAGCATGACTGACATAAATAAAGAGACGGCGAGATGGAGCCTTAGTGCGTCAGAAACTCTTGAATAGAATAGGCCAGGGCTGTCGGATTGAAGGTTCAAAATCTCACAGAAAACTAGGTCAGGACACGAGCCGTGAAGGCTGAAGTTTAAGTTTGATTATGCCGACAACAACTCTCACTGACTTGTAAGAGCTGAGGTTGGGCAAAGCCTGAATCGAGGACGTATCGCTTTCGACGGCAGCATTCCCACGCTCACAACCAGTAGTTCCATTTGGTCCTACCGGCTTCATCGGTTTCTTCTCCCGGAGGCATCGAAGCTCAGATTTCTCAACAGATCTGTTAACGATTGATTTCAAGAAGAAGCTAAGGAATTGCTTCACACGCACGGGCTGGATCCAAAGTCATATACGCTGGAAGGGCTAACGGCGACCCAGGCGAAGGAGTTAGTGGGCAATTCGATGTCGACTACAACCCTAGCTGTAGCATTGGTGGCTGCACTTGAGGGTCTTGGCGCGCTCAAAGCGAAATAATGCACTGTTTCTGACAGCAGTGCTGCCAGCCGTTCTGCTGCGGGACAGAGCCCAGCCATTTTGATAACCGCTGCTGAAAGACTGCCGCCTAGGAGTGAAAATAAGGATGCGTGGCAGTCAATGTTCCGAACTGCGCTGTCATTGATTGTCCTTGTCGAGGCAGTTGACTGTCGCAAACCCAGGTGCTGAGCACAAAGCGGTGTTGCGCGTCCAGAAGGATCTGCGCCAGGGGTTGCGAGACATGTATGAGCACGCCAAGGACAGGCCATTGCTGCTCTTCGTGGATCCGAAGAGGTATTATTCCACGAATGAAAGCTTCGCAGCTGCGCCGGTTGGGCACCCGAACATGTTCGCGGCGGTAAGGGATGTCCTCTTCGAAGAGAATCTCTTTCGCCCGGACAAAGATTTGGTCGTGGTCTTCGACGGGAGGTGTAGCAAGACCGCGGGCTACATCAAGGGTCTTATGAAGAAGGCCGTGAAGTCCAAACTCATCGGCCAGGGGGGGCACCCCTTCTACGCCTCTTACATCACAATGGTGAGTTGGCCCTGAGAAAGAAGCGCACAGTCTGCACGCCTTGCTCCGTTGACCCGCTTGAGACTTGCTTCCCGGCGATACGTGGACATGCCGGGAACCAATGAGGTTCGTGGCTTCAGCAACCTCAGCCTCAGAAGCGCTGCCAGCCTCGAGTTGAACAAGGTGACCAGGGAGGTCAAAGAACAGATCTTCAGTCACATCTCCTTCGCTTCCACGGGCGGTCCGGGCAGCCGGGGCAGCCGCAACAACCGGCTGCGGCTGGGTCTGACGAAGAAGAGGAGGAGCCACGCCAGGACTACGTGACTTTGGTCCAGTGGGAGCACCCGGAAGAGCTGTTCGCTGAATTCATTCATCTCTAGTCCTCGGCCGGGATGGACGACGTGATCGGCGATGTGGCCGCTGGTTCCGGTATTGCTTGCCTTGCAGCAGCCAGGGCAGGCCGGCACTACTTTAAATGGCATCGTGAGTGGCTTCGTGACAAGGAAGGTCCGCACCTTGACCAAGACAGCGTCTCTTGGTGGTGAAACGGATGGCAGCCAGTCGCAACAAGGCGGATCGGAGCTTTTGGTGACAAGCCCTGAGAAAAGGGATCCGAGTGCCGAGATTCTGTCGTGTACAGAGGTCAACCCAGATTCTCCTCTTGAGCCTGAGGGCGACAACGACCCTGACGAGATTTAAAGGGCTCGCTGACGCGGCCCGTGAATGTGGAGGAGTTTTGTGGCGGGACACATGACATGAGGTGGCAAAGGCCAGGGAGCAAGAAAACTTAAAAAATAGATGTGTGACAAGTGCCTGCTGAATCCTCCACATGAGTTTTGATTCCGCAGAGACTTCGGACAACACGGCTTCGCTGAGATGGCATGACAATCTCAAAATGAGTGAGAGTGCGAGCCTCCGATGTGCCATGCAGTCCTATTGCCGGTGCCCAGCTCACTAGCCATTGAAACGCAATCTTCAGCGAGTATTGGCTTAGAATTTCAAACATCCCAATATCTCCGCACATTCACGAGCCCATTTGCGCAGGTCCGACGATACCTTCACTTCGGAGTCAGGTCCTTCTCGCGCGTCGCACAGAGTGGTTGTTCCAGGATCGGTCCAGGCTGCTGCTAGGCGAGTGCTGTCGAGACAGTTACTGTTTGTAAAGGTTGCAGAGCCGTCGCTACCAATCGCAGCTCATCGGATCGTAGCACATCAGATCGTGGCCCATACAGACCTGGCTTAGGCTTGTTCGTGCAAGATGGCTATGGCTTGCGAAGGTTCCGTTCAGCGTGCCTTGATCGGCCACGCCGCGTTCCCGAGAACGCCGGAGACAATCGAGGCTGCAGACAATGTGATCTTCGAGAAGAGCCAGAACTGCGTCCAGTTCTATCCAAGTATCGGCGCTGCGATTTGCTGGAAGATTCGCGATAGTGTCAGGGGGCCTCTTGCTTGCGCGAAGTTTCGTAAAGAAGGGAAATGTTGTGGCATCTTGTTCCGTGTGTGAAACCATGCATCTGAGGCGAAATTCGCGGGTGGAACCAAAACTTAAACCTGTTTCCCGACCCCGCTTCCAATGAACGTGTGACCATAGGGCCCATGGCTTGCACTGTAAATCTTTTCGGGCGTAGTTTCTTCCACATCCTATTTGGATCATTGATTCGGGGCGGTATGGATTCCAAAGCTCGTGGCTATTTGTTAAGAGCTTAGACTCAAGCACAAGCTCTCCGATGGTGAGATGAACCACAAGTACAGCAGCCGTGCGAAGACTGCGTATGAGGTGGTGGCTGTCTTGAAGCAGAGGCAGTTCAGAATCATTTCGTGCACAGTGCACTCCACGCAGCGAGCATGGGAGGCGGGCTTCATTTCCAATGTGGGCGAGGACGGCTTCAGCGTGCCGGAGTTCAGACTCGCCGATCCGGATTTCATGGGCTCGCATATCTTGCTCAAGACTTGGATGACCACCATGGCTGTCGTGTTTGATTGCACCTTCGCAGCAGGTGAGTATTCAGCATCAAAGTCATTAAATTAAAAGCCGTGTGAGTCTGTGCTCAGGCCCGGACATGAAGATGGAGCCGCGCTCCTGGAACTTCTTCCAAGTTGGTGATTGTGGCCGAGCTCCCGGGCAGCTCCAGGCGCAGGCTGCAGCCTACATTATGAAGAACCTCTGCAAGAAGCCGAGTGGGAAGCGGCGTAACGATGCTACCAGTGGCCAGCACGAGATCATGTTCAGCACTCCGGAAATCACTTGCTTGTGGGGCTTCTGGGTCACCCAAGGCAATCTCACCAGCATTGATGTGAAATGGTTCAACTCCAAAGCCACGCCTCCGCAGAGCATGGTGCATCATGATGAGACTGTGAGTCCTATGTCTGACTACTACAGTGTGCCGTGCAGCACCAAGTGGTCGCAGCAGCTCACGGTGAAGGGTCACGTGATTTTCACCCCCGGAGACGAGGATGCAGTGACCTTGTCCGACTACATGCATCAGGTGGCCAAGCGTAGCAAGCTTATGCAGTTGAGCGACCTGAGCCGGCACATTGACTACCAAGAATGCCGCATGACGGTGATTTAGCATGTTCGTTATTTTGTCGAGGTTGTCTTACTATTTTTGCTCATTACCGATTGTTGCCGTAACTTCCCCACTCAGATGAGCTCAACGACTTGAAGGTCAAGCGGGCAAGATTGCAGCATGAGCTAGAGGACGGGCCACGCGGTACCGTGGCGGCTGAGAATCCTGCTTCGGATTCTGATGGTGCCGAGTGAAGATGAGCTTCGGATACTGATGGTGCTGAATGAATCTCTGAAGGATCCGAAGATGAGCGGTGTGCCAGCGTTTTGATCCTCGCTGGGCTTTTAAAGACTTCTCAGTCAGTGGCTGTGCGAAGTTTGCTTGAAAAAATGCTTGGAATCCGACTGACCGAAAGCATTGCCTGCACCAACCGCGTCCATTCCATACGTCATTGTTGCATTTGTCTCTGGCCCAGGCTCTGGGCGCATCCGGTGAAAGCTCGGGCGGATGTGGCATAAAAAGGGGCATCTGTTTTTTCGAAGTGCACATGTGCAGAAGGGAATTCTTGTTATGGGATTCTTGTGCTAAAAGTTAAACTTTTAGCAAAGCAGCAAAGAGTACCGAAGATATATATGTATGCATGCTCCCCCCCCTCCCAGGATCTACGCCTTGCTGTTTTTTTGTCTTATTTTCCATCTTTTAGCAGCATGGCCTCTTTTTCTTGACAATAACCAAGAAAAGAAACTCACTACCCTTGTCCTTGTACTTGTGGGAGTGCGAAGGAAAACGGAAAGCCTTTCATGTGTTCATCGAGTTGGGAGATGCTGCTGTGATCGATCCCTTAGCTGGTAATCGTATTCCCCTAACATTAAACCCCCCCCTCCCCAATAGATGCTCGGAGAATGTTTCTATTATTAGGGGTTATTTTTATCTCTACTGTCAGATTTGGGCACAATTACGGCCGCTCCGCATAGGCGGGCTCAGAAAGGGCTTGTGTGCTCACACATACACACACACACACTCTCTCTCACACTCACAGTCAAAGCAAACTCACAGTTACCCTACAAACTGACTTAGTCTTTTCAGACAGGCAGTCAGTCAGGCCTGCAGATTTAGGAAAGTGTGAGGCAGGCTTCGGGCAGCCACGTTCACAGACCGAGCTGCAGACAGGCCGTCGCAGCTGAGAAAAAACCGACAGCTGTCAATCAGGGAGGTTCACCTTAAACCCTCAGCCTTTACCCTGACCCCCCCAATTCAGCATAGGTTTTGAAGGGCAGCGTGATTTCGGGAGGATTGTGTCCAATGGGTTTTTATTGTTAGGGGGTTTTTAATGAACAGGGGAAGTGGTTAATAAAAGCAAATTCCGGCATGCATTTACAATCTTCAAACTGAAACAAAACCTGCTGCTCAGCTTCATGTGAAAAAAGGACCTTGTCTCTTTCTGGACAACAGGCAAACACTGAGCATAAGGAAGTTGGCCTACAGTTTTTTGGATGACGAGTGGAGAGATTAGCTCGAAAGTCTTCATTTGTTGCACAAGAGCATCCTTGGTCCTGCTTGCAAGGTTCTTCCCTTGTCAAGCGAAAGAAAGCTGCCATGTTTTCATTGTGAGATAGAAAGCTCTCTTCCCGTTCGTGGTAAGAAGTCTTTAAGTTACAGCTCCTCGGTTGTGCCTGAAAGGAAGAGTTCCCCGATGTCCACAGGAGCTTTGTTTTGCAACCATCTTTCAAAAGGAAATATGCTTTGTCTAGATATCAAAGAGCTACTCTTTCGTTTGTGCCGTTGAACACGAACAAAGAAAGCTTCCGCTCTTCAGAGTCAACAATTGCAAAGCAGCTTCCGCGCGCAAAACACACATGCATCCAACAGATCTGCTGCGTATGATTTTGATCACTGGCCTCATGCGCGATGATCTGCATAATGTAACCACCTCCAACCGTAGCTCCAGCCAAGACACCAAATTCGGCACCAAATCACCTCCCCGAACCAACAGTACAACCCTTCAGAGCATTGGAGCCTTCAAATTGTTTTGCTTTCCCCAAATTCTGCTTTCCAAAGGCCAAATTTCAGGGACAGTACAGCACTTCAGAGATGGAGTGGAGATGTATGTCCGTACTTACGAATGACTGTGTCGATGTATATGTTTTATGCGGTAATAGTATGTATGTATGTATGTATGTATGTATATATGTATGTATGTATGTATGTATGTATAGATATATATATATATAAATAAATATACATATTAATATGTATACAGCAATGTACATATTTTAATTTTTGTTTATGTATCACACGGGTGTGTGTATATACATATATATATTAATATGTTAATATACCTTAACATATATATGTTAATATATTCATATATTAATACAGAAAATCACATAATACAGGCCCCAGTTTTCGGTGGGTCGCACATATAC